GTTCGGATTTCCGAGAACAAACCTTTTCAGCAGAACTGCTTTCAAATATGGCGCGCGACTAGAACATACTTCCTTAATAAAATTGTTTACCAGGAACACGCAGTCAATATTGTTTCAAATTGATTCATATTACGTCTTCTTAGAACACTATTTTAAGAGAGTATCAATGAAGGATGCCAATATGGATATTGCCGATGCCATGAAGCAATTTTTCCACCAAAGCCTATCTACCTTCCGAGTATAAAATATATCAACATGAGTTTCTGAGAATAAACATATAAAAAAAAGTAATAAAACGCGAAGCTCCGTCTCAGCATTACGAACGACCTGCGTCGGATCCCTTCAAAAATTCAGCCGTACTTTTATGTGCAACCAGAGGCTGGCTCGGGTATCGAATTGAAGGAACATAAAGCAAAAAAATTAAGAGGTGTTTGGAATTACGTTATTGCTAAATGTCAAAGTGCATTATTATATTATTGCGAGGGTTAAGATTTTGAGAACCGGCTTGAGAAACTCCTTGGTCTTTTTTTTTTCCCAGTGTTTTTCTAGACTAGGGGAATGAAAACAGAGGCCGAGGGCCGAAAGGGGTCGAATCAAATGATTCATCAACCTTGTTGGGCTCGTCAGTGAAACGGCGGCTTTATTTTGTTGTTTTGAGGGTTTTTTTTTCTCCTGGACTGATTCAAGTACCTGTGATGTACTGGGTTAGGAATATTAAGCCACCGGTAAGGGAAAAAAAATTATACAATAAAATAAAGATGTAGTAAACTTTCCCGTTCCCTTTTGATAGCTGAACTGAGTCCTGCTTTCCAGGAACTGCCTGACAGGCCTTGTCGCGATGGCCTTATAATTCATGAATCAAAGTTCTATTCGCGTTCTTTCATTCATGTTGTTTTTCAGGATCGGCAGGAACATCGATGAAATACGGATGGGTTCCATCTGCTGCTTCTCGAGTCTGGGTTTTACTCGATCGGTTCGATTATTCTATTCCATTATATTTTAATGGGCTGTTTTCAAAGGGAATAGAAAGACAGTATAATTTTCAAGTTATTTTCCCCGAAATGCTCCACGAAACATCGCTGGCCATGAGCGATCGATGGCAAGGCGCCATGTTGGGTCCTGACTCGACGTCCCAATCGGAAAATTTTGACCCCTCGAAGGCCAAGATTCTCCTTCATCGACTCCTTTCCTAATCGTGTGATTGTGGACAGAGGGATTCCTCTGGCTTTCTCGGGTAATCCTCGAATCCTCAACCTTTGGGGTGCCGATGGGCACTGCACGGCACATCGTGAAGGCCTGGCCGTCTGCTCAGCGACGCAGTTCCGTGGCACCAATGCAGCCTCGAGAATGAGAGAAAACAGGAAGGGGAAACAGGAAGGGAAAACGGGAAGAGAAAAGAGGAAGAGAAAAGAAAAGAGGACAAGAGTTGAGGGTTCGAAATGAGATTAGCTGGGTGTTGAGTGCGTTCACGTGTCATATGTGATGCAGGAGCTAAAAACTTTTAGACTGCTTCTATCACGTGTCTCGTTCCCTTGGGATCCCTCTCCTTTCCGGTGAACAACGTTCACTATCCACTTACTTTTTTTTTAGGCACTAAGTACTTTAGGATGCGGAGCGAAGGAGGACGGGGGTTGTGTGCACGAAATGTCTCAAAATATGCAAGAAATTACATTTTTCATCCGAATGCACTTGTCTGGTGAGATGATGTACGTGCCCTTTTCGAGATATAATCACCCTATTACGACGCTCCGTACGCGTAGGAAAATCTGATGCTATTCAAGAGAAAAACGAGCAGCCTGGCTTGACGTCGCAAGCCATAGCAAAGCATAAGGCAAGCCATGTCGAAAGAAGCGATTCTTAGGAAGACCTTTAGAGAAGAAGACCTTTAGAAACGTGAAGGGACTCGGAAGTAGGGAGCCAGCCGTCAGGCCAGCACCTTTTATTGCGTTTGCCATCATCTTCGTTTACAGGCGCCTTCATCCTTCCTTCACGTCCTTTGCCCTTCCGGTAATGAAGGTCGCTCATCCCGCAAGGTGACGGAAATCGATATAAGAAACGATCGATCGGGCTACCTGAGCGAGGGATTTGAGGAACTCTCGTAATTACGATCGTCTCGGGAAGTTCCAGTAATCTGCATACACCTAATGTCTCCATCGCGATCGATCGCAAGATGATCTCTGCATTACGGGAATCTCGCGATCGACAAGGAGCGTGCCCACGCTTCTCGGGAGCCATCGGCTCCTGTTTTTCCGCGCGGAACAATGAAATCCCATTAGCGGCGAAAAGCATCTCCTGACAAAAACGAAAAACAAAGGAAATCGGATTAGATGGATTTCGAGGCGAATTCGGGCGAAATTAAGGCACGTTAAATGCCGTTCACGATAGCTTTCACAGTTGAGATGAGCTGTCGAATGACATGAACAATTCTCGGCTTGGGAATTCAATGTCGAATCGTTTGAAAAAGTTTTCCCAGATATTTGGGGAGCAGTTAACAGTCTATTATAGTACCTAGAGGTTTACATTAGCGAGTAATTGCTTACGCAACAGCGCCCTTTCGAATCTCCTGCAAAATAAAGAAGTCAATAGTAGCTAATGCAGGCAAATAAATAGCTGAGCCGTCCTGAAGTCGGTCGCGTTAACACCCAGGGATGCCACGAGAGGTCGACAAGGGTAGTCCTTATTTTGGCCTCTCGCCAATGAAGAATAAGGTCAGGAGGCTAAGCTCCTTTACGGGTGAAATCGAGGGGCACTTCAGAGCGGGCGGCAAGCTTCAACTGGCTTAAAAAGAGTGCGCTTCTCACTTCAGCCCACTCTCGTGATAAAATTGTGCGCCGGGAATACCCGATTGGAGTCTATTTTATCGTAACTGACTTACATAGTGCAAAAAAAATTAATAAGGGAGGATCCATCAAGGAAGAAGGCAACGGTTTACAATGTTATTTAAAGGAAGACTCTGATTTGCTTTCGTCATCATATGTTTATTTTCTCTTATTCTAGGTATACCCGGAATAAGAGAAGATAGACATATATGGCAGTATTTTATTATAATATATAATAAAATAAGTTGAGGTCCTGTCTAAGATTTCCAAATGGTCTGCGCTGGGTCACTTCAAACATTAAGCCGTGTCTTGCTTTTCTGTGCAGCCAGGGACATGCACAGATATCGCAAATCTAGTGAAAAATATTTTTTTAAAAGCTTTAAAAAAATAATAATTGAAAAACCGCTGAACTAGCTGTATCCTGAGCCTTCTATCCCGGGGGAACCCCTTACACGTGCCCATTTCAGGCCCCTAGAGTGAATTTTTATTTCACCAAAACCGGGGTTTCCAACTGCATGAATTTCAGTTGAAGTCATCGAGAAGTCTAACACATAGTGGTCGGGTTCATGATATCTAGTTTTTACCTTTAACTAGAGAATTTCCTCTAATTAAAGCTCTTAGACGCGAGAATGAGGTTCAGGAGGGGGTTCTGCCAGTGAATAAAAAGCTACATTAATTTAGCATTTATGGGAAAATCAAGACATGTTTGTACATATTTTGCTCCCACTCGAGAATCGCTAATGCCCAACCTCGAATCTGCGAATAAACAACCTTAACTGGAGATAATTCCCCCTCCCTTTTTTCGGTGCATTCGTCCGTGTCAATTATTCAAAAGGCGATACGCAATTCAGAATTTGCAACGGGTTGGCTGCATCGCGAAAACATAGCAACCTGTGGTCTCTAAAGCCACATAAGAGACGTAGAGGGACAATGCGTAGCGTTTCATAATTAACATAATTAAAAGCATTGCAGATGACGAAGCAAGGTCCAACTACCCTCGTAGTACATAACATTGATTCAACATGGATTGTGTTGATTCAATGCTGCACACTGCCGAAGTTGTTTTTGGGGAGTGATCCCACACGATGCTCAATGTATCTATCAACAATGCCTATTGTAAAATGCATGAAGTACGAATTTTACGCTTCTGAGTACTTCACAACACAGTCTCCACGCGTCAACAGTTCATTCTCTATTGAACCACAATTGTGGAAGCTTCGTAGCGATGATAATCCTCTAAATCCACTTAGCCGGTACCAAAGGATAAAGGGATCCCTGGACGGAATTCGAAACACATAAAAAATGATCCACGAGAATCTCTCTATTAATCAACAGTCCTGTGGTTAATAGGGGATTGACTCCGTAGTTTTGCATTCCAACTAGGAACACGGAAGGAAGCATGATCCCATTAGGGATGGAGATGGAATCCGCCTCCGCACTAATCTCCAGGCTTGAGCACAGCCTTCTCACTTCATTATTCTTCTATCATGCAGAATGGAGGGAAAAAGAAACCCAAGCGCCGCTGTGATAAACGAGTTATGGATTGACTCGCATTATATGGAATAAATTACATCCCACGATGTACATATTTAAAAGAAACAAACTGCTTTGCGGTAAAAGACGGGGGAAGATGACAAGGGAGAACGTAGTCCAATGATGGCCTGAGGAAATAAATATCTCCCTGAACTTTCCATCGCAAAATGGTTGCCAGATTTAGTCGCGATTGCTCCGTACTTTCAAGTTTTGCTGTGTCGTATGGAACGAGATTCTCTCAATTTCTCGGGTGAAGTCCCGTGATGATAAGGTGATAAGCCAGAATAAAATTTAATTTAACTTTTTTTTCTATTAAATTTATGTGGGAATAACTTGCAAAATACGGGACGGGTGGCAACCAGTAACAGATGCGTCAAGGGTGATAAAAGCTTTGTAAAAGATGTAATATTTGACCAAAAATGAAAATTGCTCTTTAGTTTAAAAAGAATTCCAGGATCCCATACGAAAACTTTCCATAATTGAGATATACATCCTACATGCATACAAGACACAAGTTTCATTTAATCAAATTTGTTCCTTGATCACAAAAAACTCAAAGTTGCCCATCAGGAAATGCCAAGGAGGCAAAGCATTCTTCAATCAGATGGAACAAAATGAAACATCTGAAAAACAGCAAATATATTTGATCTCCTCAATCTCTCCAGATCCAAATATAATCAAAGAAAGATAAGGGTGCAAAGGAAGGAAATGATGTGAAAGAAATGACATCAATGAGAGGACTTAGTGTTCTTCTCTCTCCGTCTTACCTGTTCATACAGCGTGCTTGTCACTCAATCATGCATTCATCTCAGGTACTATCACATGACATCCCTCAGCTGGATCTTGACTGATGGAAGGATCGAAAGACGACGACACGGGGGTCTCACGACCTTCCGAATCACAGACGTGGACCGAGGACCGTGAAGATGCGACGACCCTCAACCGAGAGGACTGGGAAGATTCCACCCTCAACCGAGAGGACAGTGAAGATGCCACTGTCGACTTAGTGCAGACTGCAACAATGCCAGCCCCAATTGGTCAAGGCTGCCACTTTCAAAGGGGCATCACTCACTGTCCGAGTGCACAGTGTTCGTCCGACGTTTCTTGGCTGGCTTAGTCTTAATTTCTTCCTCTTCTGAACTGGATTCTGAGGAGTCTGAAACGTGGTTTCGTTTGTTCGTCCTCCCCTTTTTCACAGGGGACTTTGGCAGGTTCTTTGGCTTCACTTCCGCAAAGAGGTCCTTGAATTTCTTGCGCTGGGAATCACTGCAGGTGGTAGAGGCTTGTTGGAGTGCTTGCTGCACTGCCTCACTGTTTAAAATTGAGGTTTTGATGGCTGAGCAGAGTGACTGAAGGTGACCAAGAACCTGATCCAGGCTAGGACCAGCAGGTGGCTTTTGGGTCTGATTTGAACCACGTTTCCGCTTTGCAAGATTCACATGAAGGTTGATCAATGAACTGAAACTCTGCGACAGGACGTCCTCATATTCTTTGCACCACTGCACTAACAACATGGTGCTCACTTCCAGCCCTTTACGTCCTGAAGAGGACATGATGTTTTTCAAGAGTTCTGTGGATGGTTTCTCATGGCGAAAGAGGGACAGCATGGCAGTCATGGCCTCGGGGTGTCGGGTGACACTGAGACTTGACAAGAGCGGGGCAACATATGAGACTGGGATGTTGTGTGCTGACACCAGCTGCCATACACACATCTGCTCCCATGTCTCCCATGTGAGGCTAGTCTTCAGCACAGGGACGAAGGAGTCTTTCCGGAACATCACAACATCCCCACGGATCACAGAACAGATCAAGGAGTTCAGTTGCGATGCATCAACAGATGATGCCATGAGTCGCAACAACTCAGCATTCTTGACACAACACGATGCAAAGTGCTTGTAGAGGTCAGGTATCAGCCAGCAAAATAATCCCTGATCATCCTGCTGGCAGCATTCCATGTCAGCCAACAATGCTGACTTTAGCTCTCGGTCAGCATGATCATTGAAGTCTTTATATAAAGAGTAGGGATCCTTGGCATTTTCTTCTGAATTGGCTTTTAGGAAATAGAGAAGACGATACCCTAGGCTGGGGTAGTACTGATGCATCTCTGAGATCAGGTTTAGGAGGATCTCATTCTCCCGATCATCAGAGGAGCTCTGGCTCAGGTTCCGAAATAAGACAAAAAGAGGCTTGTCAAGGGATTCAGCGAGAGTCTCCTCATTCACTTGATTGGGAAGGAGGGTTTCTGTCAGCTGGTCTTCAAGGACCCCACAGATCAGCATGGCAAGAGGGGAGTATTGATCATCCATCTCCTCATCCACCTCAACAAGTGCCTTCACAAAGTTCTCCATAAGCACACAGCTGTCAGACTCTTCTGCCAGCTGCCTCAGGTAACTTTTCAGTGTTTCATTTCTGATTTTGTCCACTCCTTCCAATGCTGTCTGCTTCACCTCTTCCACAGGTTTGTATTTGAAGTCCTTCAGTTTGACCTTCCCATTGATGACATCTTCGTTATCTTCATCACTAAAATCAGGCTCTGTCACGTGGTTCTCAACCTTAGGTGCATCCAGGTCATGAACATTGTTCTCACGAGGCATTGGAAGGTACCGGGCATATGTGGCAGGAGAGTCATCCAGGACCTTGACTGCTTCTGGGGCAGTCTGTGGGTTGTCACAGAATTCTGAGAAGTTCTCCTTCAACATGCCCCGCAGTTCTTTGTCCAGACGGTTGTTGTCAAAGAGGGGGGAGAGAGATGGGAGAACCCCCTTTTTGAGGATCTGCCTCAGAGCATTGTGGATCCCCTGACGTACTTTATCAAGCAGAGGTGGATAGAAGTTCGGTATCACCTGTCCCAATGATTAAAAAGAAATATTGTTAGAGCAATTTTTTCACCAGAACTAACTCATATGAGATGCAAATCAATCAACATTAGAAATAACACATTAAGGCATGAAAGCCCTTCCATACAAAGATTTTTCTCAAATTGTTCAAGTCCTGTGGCAGCAAACTTCTATGAATGCACCATAAATTACACATGTGAAAACAGAATTCATTATGTACCCGACAGATTGAAAGTGGGGCTTACCCGGCAGAGGAAGTCAAGAAGTGTGGCAGTAACAGCAGGATGAGGTCGCATGGAGTGATGCATTACCAAAATTGCAGGTTCTTCAGAGGAAAAAGAAAATTCAAATATAAATTAGCATCAAGAATCATTAATACATTAGTTCCAGTATCAATAACTGAGCATCACAAGATGGACTGACCAACATTCATAATGTTGTCCTTTTCAGGGTCATAGAAGAGCCAATCATAGAAGAGAGCCAACTTGGCATTGGCAGCAGCTACATTGGATGTACAGGTGGTGAGGAGCCACCCAATGACTGCCCAGCGAGGAATGACATCAGAGCAGAGGAGCTCGTTTGTCGGATGAATCACACCCACGATAAATCGGATCAGGTCACAACGCAGGGACTGAGACTCTGGTGTTGCCAAGTACTGTAATGCATCAACCCCAAATATCACTCAGGATGATGTTAATAATGCCATATGGTGAAATAGTAAGCATTCCATAAGCTGACATAACATGACAGAAGGTGAATGATGAGACCTAGCCATCCATGTCTGGTAGTGATTGGAGAGTATCCATGAGTCAGCATGCCAAAGTTTAGAGCATCATCTTTGCAAATGTATTCGGTTACTATCATCAAACAGCTGGAGAAGTCACAGGTTGAATTGGGAGTAACACATGAACTAAGTGTGTATGTGGCCCCTACATTTTTTATGATGGCTGGTAAGGTTTGCACTGACCTGTCTTTGGAACCAATCTTGATATCTCTTTTGATTCCCAAAACGTACTTGGGAGGTAAGGAACACAATTTTCTCCTCCATGTCTGGAGTGAGACGGAGCTGAAGGAAGCGGCGTGATGTTCGCATCTGCAATAACTGCAACAGGCCTGTAGAAAAGATGAGAACACAATACATGGTCTTAGTTACATGTAATTCCATAAAATGGGGAAGATTATCTAACACAGGAGAGGGGGAGGGTGCACAAGAGATATAAAGAAACATCAGGATACACCATACAATTTTAGAGTTAGAACTGATCAGCATATGGACACCTGACAAAAAATTGATTGATGGATTGCTTCTCTTTCTTTTGCATGACATAACTGAAGTTATACACAAAATGTTTTCCAAACAACATTTTTCGTAGCTCCATAGTCGACATGAAGCAAATATATGAAATGGGAAATGGGTATATGCCCTGTAGACCTTAACTGACAAAGTAACCTTGAATCTCATTTTTTCTCCCTGTCCATAGGGTTGCAAGAACACTCACTTCTGCTATCCAGCTTACCAGGATGGAAGGTACACACACTTAAGATTTAATTGCCACAGGAAGTTAATTAAAGTAAGCATAAAAAATTAGACCTGATCCAGACCTAGGAAAAAGAAAAAATCTGTAGATTCCCATTGAATCAAGAAAACTCAGTGGGATCCCAATATTGCAAAGGAAGGTCCTTAAAAACATGGGAAGGTTTGACTTCATAAGCATTAGAACCTTTCCTCACATTGCATGAGACACCCTTTAGGTGTAGGAACTGAAGTTCTGTCCTTTTATATATTCTGCTGTGCTGGGGTAATTTTTACAAGGAACACTTCAGTTCTTATCCTTATATTTATAAATAAATAAATAAATAAAAGGACCAGATCTGCTTCATGCTATTCATGTGAAACAGAACCTGATGAGACTTATTGAGAACAAGAAATCTGCTAAAACCAAGGCACTTTCCTCCCCTTCCCCCAGGCCATTTCATCATCTATGCCTCTCATAAGGTCTGGATATTGCAGGGCTGCAGGCAATTAGATATTTGAAAGCATGTCACAACAAAACCAAGAATCTTCAACAACAAAAAAAAAACAAAGCAGGACTTTCCTTCTCATTCAGCAAAAGGAAAAAGCACAGGCAATTCATACTTAATTAAACAAGGTTTATTATTATTAAGACTATTACCCCTGGGAAGAAAGTAGAGCTGCAATATGGTATTTTAGTCATAACAGATTTTCTTTTTGCAACAAATGAGCCTTTCCTTCGGGGAAATATCAGAATGCATGAAGCTCCACTTGATCCAAGAAAACTTCATGATGTGACATACATATCATTTACAAAATGTTGCTCATCGGGTATGGTGTGAAACTTACCGGTAAAGTTAGGAGAGAGAGAGGTTGGGTTATGAAGGAGATCCCGCCAGAAGCGGTCAAATTCAGGTATACGGGCCACATTTTGCAGAAGGCGGACAAGATCTCGACCAATCATCATGCAGTCGGTGAATCTATCTCGAAGCATGCCAATGAGGAAGACGACCTCCTTCTGCCTCAGAGCGACACACTGTGGGGCCAAGTGGTCCTCCACCAAGCGTAAGTAAGTGTACACCACTGATGCAATCAAGTGTGGTTGCTTCTCCATCCATGCTCTGGAATGAGAAGTGAAAAGGAGGAATAAATACTGATGATAAAAGTAATAAAAGCTAAAACTTCACTTTTCAAACAGTTCTGAACATATCTATCTTTTACTAGCTCAATCTTCAGATTGCCCATCGTACAGCAGCAGCGAATGCTATATGCAATGAGTGTCCCAAAGATTTCATCACTACTGCAGATTTGGTTGGATAGCTTCAAAGTCTTAGCCAATAGGGAAAGCATACAATTTGCCAAGGGCATGTGAGCAGTAGCTAGCTATGTTGTAAACTCCAAAATAGAGATGGCAGTGTAGGAAAAAAAAAAATGTATTCCCACAAACCTGAGGTGACAAATTGGAATTTCCAAGGAAGAACATGCAAGCAGACTGAGCAGCTGCCTGCCCATGCATCTCCGTTCCTGCGAACCTTGTTCACAGGTTCACAAGGGTTTTCCTAGCCTGCATCCATCTATATAATAATACTCTACGTTTGTGCATCCACTCCATAAGGGACTACTCATGGTAATCTTTCAAAACCCAACCCAATTCAAGCTTTGGCTCACACCTAAATTGAAATATTATAGCCAATGGTTTCACAGGTCAATCTTCAGATCATATCAAGCTGGCTTAGAGCCCTTGAATGGTTGTCAGGATGACCAAAGCATCCCATTTGAATGCTATTATGCATAAGGCAGACTTCAATAAGTTTCAATTGGTAAATTATAAATGTTTTAGGGGCTATGGTTATTATTTATAAAGGCCTAATTGAGTATCAAAATCAGATCAGTGGCTGGGTGCATTGACAACTGGTAGGTTAGGCCTACAATGGTTGTAGGCAAACTCTCAAATTTCTCCATCAAAACAAAACAAAGAGTACTATGTCAGATGATGCAATGAAAAATGCTTTGAGTCTGTGGTCTACCTGCTGTCACTGAGAAGGTCAAGCATGGCTTCAATGAAGACCAAGTTCTTGGGTGAGAGATCACCTCCAGGGATCTGTCGTAGGAGGTTCAAGCATAATGTATCAGTGGCATTGATGGAAGAGCGGATGAATTCCCTGAGCAGCAACAACAGCTGCTGCTTGCTTGCATCTGTGAGACGCCGGAACTTCTTCAGTATCAACTGGTTCGTGAAACTCAGCACCAACTGCAAGCCATCTCGGGAAATGAGCAGCAAGTCCCGGATCCTCTGTGAAAATTCAATGAAGGTCAGCAAAAGAAAATGACAGAATTAATACACCCAAGGAGAGATACAAGATGTTTTATGAGCCTTGACACATGTCTAGTTGAGATAACTTTAGTCTCTGGTGATGTACTTTCATGATCATTTACTTATATAAAAAATTCATGTTCATTTGGCTTGATAATATCCATTCTGGTCTTTTTTTAAATATGAAATGATGAACATTTTCACAACTTTTCTTACATAAAACTCAATAACATGGCACAGAAATTTAGAAGAAATGATTTTACAGGTGTTGAGATGTTTTAGCAATGGAAATTCCCAAATACAAGCTGCTATAGAGACTATCTTAATGGATTATTTATTTCTAAATTAAATGTCACCAGAACTTCAGTATCAAGAAGCCCAGGATCATTAGTCTTAAGAGTTTCATTGCCCACACCTACCTCACTTCCCATTTTGAGAATTTCCACTGCCACAAGACTAGCATTTGGGGATGCACACCCATAAGGTGGATATTCATAGCAATTGAATTATGAGAAACAGCTGCAGTGTACAATCCCTCACTCAACAAGTAAAAAATTTCTAATCATTGGGTCCTACAAAATCTGATAACAGTTCAAGATGAAGGTAAGGGTGAGGTGTCATCTCAAAAGGAAAATATAATAATCCTGGTGCTAAAAATGGGTATTTGACACTGTGAGCATATGCTTTACTACTTGTTTGATCAGGGAAAGCATTCCTACATCAACACAATTGTGCATTTTGCTTCTCCCAAATGCCAAACACTAAGCTAGGTATTTAAAAAAATCATCACTCCAGAGACAAGTATGATGCATTAAATCAGTTACGAGGAAGATATTGGTAATACATTAAGCACTATCCGAGTATTACAATCTGAGATACACCCAACTCAAAGGAAGGTCATGCAAATTATCTAACAGCTTTCCAAATGACTCTTGTAATTAATTTAATATTGTACATAGCCACCTTATCTAGATGTCTTCCAAACAAAACTGAATTTTAAACACAATATTACCCTATCCAGAATTTTCAGGCAATTTATTATGAGTATTTATTATGTTCCTTAGCATATTTACAGGTACACTTGGGCTTTCTCTCAGGTATGAAAATTATCATAGAAACCTAGGTCAGACACAAAAGAGGACTGGGTATTAACCTTGGCTGAAGAGGAAGGGTCAAGGAGGGCAGCAGTAAGGAGTCCAATTGACACTTCTTCATGCTGTAGTGCACTGCTGCTCACTGTTGTATTCAAAATGTCATGCGTCTCTTTATCTGACAATCCATTGATCAAGCTCTGGACACTTCCCCATGACTTCTCCAGTTTCTGCAAAATGGAAAAAAAAGAGACAAAATCAATTAATCAAGCCAGCAATTCTGCCAAGGCATCATGAAAGCCCAAACTAGAGGAAGCTGAGCTAGTGAATCCACTTTCTTGCAATTTCCAAGAGCTAGAAGTATGAAATTATGAAGGAATAAGATATGGAATGTGCATATGATACTTAACCTTATGACGAGTTATGATTTTTCAAGAAAACACCTTTTATACTGAAAGATTAAGTAAAAGAAAATAAGATAACTTTTCCCTTTACCTTTCAGGCAAAACTGATGGAAGTAAAGAAAGAAGCAGACCAATTAAACCCCTAGAGCCATTATGGAAACTACATGAAATTGTAATGTCAGGCCTACCAGCATAAACTAATGACACTTATTTCAAAAGAGTCAATATCAGTATACCCCTGGAGACAAATGAAATGAATGAGAAACATAATACAATGATAAATCAATATATAATATAAATAAACTACCAGTTTTTAAACCTTTTGATACTATGGCCATACTAGTAAGGCATGGCATGCATGGTCCCTTCTCTTTCTGCATTAACCCCTGCTTCGGCAATCACCACATCCTAAGGCACCACCACTAAGGTAAGTGCAACTTTTAACTATTCATACTTGCAAGTACAGCTTGCTTCAAGCCCTGACTAAGCATTGAACATGTGCACACCCAAAGAAACCCAGCTGGGAAGCAGAGCTGTGAGTAGAAATCTCTGTACTGAAAGCATCATAGGGGTCGGATTAAAATAAATGCCTGTGTTTAGTCAAAAGGTTGGTCTCATAATGGCTCTCATAATAGCACCAAATGAAAAATAACGAGTGTTCAGCTACTTGTCTTCACAAAAGAGTTAAATTAAGAAACTAATGAACAAGGATATTGACATTTCTGCAGAAAGATAATAAGAAGGCAAATCTAAACACATGTACATTCTATACATACATTGTAGTTCTATTGACCCAAAAGCTAATGGATTAGGTGGGTAACATCAATGCTGAAGTGACAACAGAAGAAAGCATAAAGAATTTAAAAATTAAAAACTGCAAATGTCAATCAAGAAGCCAATCAGTGGCTCAAGACAAACAAATATGTTTACAATTTTTACAATAAATATGTTATTCGTAAGATTTTAAAATTTGTAAGGCAAGGGCAGGGCCACCCAGAGGTTTCCAGGGGCCCAGGGCAAAACTAAACTGGAGACCCCTTGGGGACCCCCATGAGGCCCTTTGGAGGCACCCCTTGGGACCCCTTGATATGTGGGTCCCGGGGCAGATTGCCCCAATTGCCCCGCCCTATTGGCGGCCCTGGGCCACTGAATGCTGAAACCTCCTTTAATTAATGGTCCTTTAAGAATACATGGACTCCTATAGAACGAAAAGCTCACTAGCATAAAGACCCCTTTATCTCTCCTAAATGAGGTGAGTGCATTTGGGTCTGGACTTCTTTCCTCCATCTATGAGAGGCTAAGACAACTGTGCAACCATAAGGGAGAACTTGAAGCACGAAGAAAAAAACTTCTCAAACTATTCTTAACTTTAGTCAAGACATCTTCCTTGAACCTTACTTACAGGCTTGCCCATTTTGAAACCTTCACAAATCTTCTAATGATATGCTTCAATTTCTTGCAAGCCAACTTTACAATTCAGGTAGAGAATAATGAAAAAATTAAAAAAAAATTAAAGAATATCCAGTACATCTCGGAGAATCAACCTTGAATAAAATCTACTCCAGACATCCAATAAAAAGTAGATGAAGCTTAAGAGCACCTGAGGATTAAATAAAGGAAAAACCATTGCACTGTTAGAACAGTTTCAGCATACAAACCATTACATATAAAAAATCTAGTATTTTATTTAAAATTAGTATTTTAAATACTGATTTTCCAAATCAAAGAGCAAATTCACATAACACTTTAGTCCCAGGTCAACTGCCAGCATGTCCATATGTAGGCCAAGAAAACAAAAAGTGAGAAATTTTTTTCAGAGGAAAGAGGAACAAGTCTTGAACATACAAGAAAAAACTGTTTTAACACTATTGTACACACTAATATAATGTTGGTGCTATCATTCCACCTAAAAACAGCTTCCATACCTTAAGATGGCTGAATGAACCATTCTGTACTAGCAGCTTTAGATTCTTTTGTATAGGCCTAATTCATATTGAAAAATAGTTCAAGGAATTAGAGCTTTTCATACCGCATGGATATCTTGCCAAGAATGACCAGGCAATATGCTAGAGTCTCAGTGACCAGCTCCTATTGTTGTCAGAACTTAACAGTCCCATTCAAGGTATTACTCACATAGGCATCAACATAAATCTGAAGTTTCTGCAAATCACTGTACACATTGCATCTAGAAACTTAGGCTGAAATGCACAAGCCTCATTTAAGGGAGATAAAGAAGCATCTAAACTGAAGAGCTCTTTTTCCCCCATAGGTGTCCCATGTATTCTTAACCCTTTCCAGTCCATTTTATTTGTAACACTATGGAGATTGTTGGACTAAGTCAACCAGTGGACCACAAAGGATTAAAGGACCGTTAACTAAAGGAGGTTTCAGCATTCCAGCCTTAAGCCTGAATGCACAAACTTCATTAAGAGGAGATAAAGGGTTCTTTAAACTAAAGAGCTCTTTTTCTCCCAGAGGAATCCATGTATTCTTAAAGGACTGTTAACTGAAGCATTCATTCAAGCAATCGTGCATCACCAACATTCTTTCAGATGTCATGGAAGCATGTCCTGGTTGGTGTTGTGAATTTTCCTTAGAACCTTCATTTTCAACACCAATCACAGGGATTCTAACAGTCTTGATTACTGGCATCAGTTATAGGATCGACAAAGTTTGACTTGTGGTTTGGTTTTGTGCTAATATCCATACTGGTTCAATGTGGTGTAAGTAACCCACTTATAGGACATATTCCTAGAGTAACCTTATTTTGAATGATTGAGAGCAAAGGTTCCCAATCATGACATTCAGCTACAAAGTAGCATCTTTCAATGATCTTTATCCTATCCAACTCATGATTCCAGCAAATGCCAAACACCCATAACCAACATCCATGGTTATGGTTATAGTCAAATCTTCTTGCATCAGTCACCAGATAGCTCTCCTGCTGGTAAATTTACAGTCAAGAGCCAACCACTATTGACCTTCCTCTTTCTCCAGAGAAGTGCTTCATCGACTTCCACTCGTTGACCATTCACTCCCATTGGCTCTCTCAAGTCAAACATATGAACACACTCATCTCGACACAAGTTAGACCGATCATTTACAGAACTGGCACCACAACCCATTAACATTGAAATAGTCACTTTTGTAGTATGTCCAGTACCCAGTAGTAGCACAGTTCCAAGATCTTCTGAAGCAAAAGGTGGCTATTGCAGTGTCCATTCACATTTGTGAATGCAAAGATGTCCTTCCTCTTGCAAATCAATTGGTGCACTTGACACCAAGTCTTGTGCACCTCAAGGTGTGGTATTCTCTGACCAAACCTTCAGCTAGCTTCTTATTGTATGTTGAGGATTCCACCTCACTTAAACACCTCAGGTAATGGTAAATTGTTCACACTCTGGAGTAGCCCATGCTCACACAAGAATACAACACAACTCTCTTCCATAGTAATCGTGGGATAAAACTCAACAGCCTTTCATGATGATGGAATGAGAATATGTCCAAGTCCTCATAATTCATATGTTCAAGTCATTGCCTTGATGACATCTCTATCCCTGATGCTCTCAGGATTAAGAGATTAACCCTTTAACTGGTGTAAGTGGAATTAATCCTTTTTCTGGAATCATCAGAGGGGTGTGGTATCGACAAGGCTGAGGTTCATTCTGAGATAAGCCATGCCAAGGTAAGGCCTTATTAAAGCCAGGTCTCCAAAATTTAAAAAATATTATCAGAGAACCTTAGCACAACTTTTAATGTTTTGGTGTGTAGATCACCAATAACCTGAGAAACAGCGATGTCGACCACCAACGACCAGAACGTCAGCGAGACTACAAAATAGATCAAACTGCCACCATGTCTACTTCACAAGCTTAACCCCCAAGCAAATGAGAGCCATCATAGCATTCCAATTAATTTACACATCAATGAAATTCAACACAGCACTGTGTGGAATATGAAATCAACTCTTATTGGGGAATGAATTTTCATTATAAACAAGGTGAAATGTCAAGACTTTCATCCTTACACACTGTCCAGAATAGTCATGAACGTTGTGCTGGTCAATGCAGCCAGGAGGCCACAAAATATAATCATCAAGTATTGATTTTACATTCAAAATCATCAAAAGTTGATAATTGAGCATTTCACATTTGCCTGCAAGTAGTCCTGACCAACCGCGATAAGCTAAGGTTTCCTTCAATTGAAAGGCCTCAGTGCTTCGCGCGTAACATCAGAGCCCAGAGTGTGACCCAACAATCAACACCTGAATGGAAGACCTCAAATCATCGGACATCATGCGCCCTCGAACAGAATGCCATGTCTGAATGGATTCATGTTCCCAGAAACGTAGCGCAAAGATCAGTAGACCTAACGGTATTAGAAGTAACCCCTTTGCGCAATCGTGTTCAATTGGTGGGTGACCGTTGGATGGGCAGCCATGCCGCGAAGTCAAAAGGGAAAATAAATAAATAAAACTGTTACAATCCAGGACTGCGATAACAGCATCCATTCTCGCGCAATGTTTACATGACCCTGTAAAAATTGAAAAACATAAGAGGTCGTGGGAGTCACGTGGTCCGAGGACATGTTGGACCACGAACGCCACGTCGGGGACCGGGCAAACTACGATAGACGCGTCAGAGCCTGCGTAATGAATCTCCTACAGGGACATTATGATAGAGGAGAGAAAACAGGGAATCTTTCACCTATTTACCTCTTCCAATTCATCCTTGGCGTCGAGAGTGGAGGGTACAAACAGTTTCCCAAGTGCACTCTTACTTTCCATGGAATAGGCCTACGTAGGACTGAATGAGAGCGAGCGGAAGGCCCACGCATGGGTTGTGTGTCTGTCTCTCTCCCTGTCCCAGGCCGAGTCCATAGGCCTTACCGAGTTCCAACGGTATTGCCATTACGGCGCGGAGGAATACAGCCTCTCAGCTCCATCGTGTCCGCGCACTCCAAGAGACATAGATCTGAACACATGCGTCTTTTCTTCTTTGATCACCAATTTTGAAGGATAATCCCCATCACAGTCTTTGAGAAATAGAAGCGTATTACTAAGAGAAGAACGATGATGAAAATATGGCTTTAGAACGAAAGCAATGTTGCCACTAGCGAGGAAGGCAACGTTGCCACCACCACAGCCTGCCTTCCCCTCCCTTCTTCGTCAGTCGGCTGCCAGCCGCCGTGGAGGGAGGGGTTCGTTGCTGGCTTCTCCGAAACAAAAGGCTCTTTTTCTCTCCTTTTCCTTTCTTCGTTTTGGAGGCCTTGGGGGCCTTCGATCCCCCTAAAGTAGCTAGTTTCATTCCTCCCAGCATGGAACAGTGGTATGTACAATCGTTCTCTTGCAAATGTTCAGCAATCTAATCAAGATGAGTTATGAGAATAGAACATTGGGCATATGGACGTTCGCATGTATTGCTAGATCAAATGCCGTGGCTCCGGATCCATACGATTCAAAGCCTGTGTATTTCATTATGCAGCTGGAACCGATGTAGGAAGGAGATCGTCTCAAATCAATGAGTCGTGAATAATTAATGCACGGAGGCGCACTCGGAAACGATAAGAGGTTGCCCAAATCGGGAAACTGCCTTATAACACGGCAGTTTTCTATCACGAGTGTATAGGGACATTTGCATCTTGCCGCTGGGAAGTCCGGGAAAGTTCCTTTATTCGCAAGTAGGTTGGCAGTTAGGAAAAAATTCTCCATTTTTAGCTGCTTTTATTATTTTTATCTTGTGGGGGGGGAATAACTTTCCTTTTTCCTTTAAATTACCAGATTCCGAGAACTTTGAGACGCGTCAGAACAGTGGTTCTCCTCCAAGTTTCATCTCAAGTTGTATCGATCGACTTATGAAGCGTAGGAAACGAAAATCTGCCATCTCGGCGGCGCCAGTCGAGTTCAGCGATCGGCTGGAGGAAAATACCGATGTATCGCAACCGGTGACGCACTTCCCACCAGAGGGATACCGGATGCGCTCGAGGGATGAAATTTCTTTGAAGGTCGAGGATTATTTGGACCTGCGGTTTGGCTACATGGCGGTCGGTCATCCGATACGAAATATTTATCATGATAAGACTGACAACATGTAAGTTCACGGTGCATTCCGAGTCTGACGACCGAACCCGGAACGAAAAGGAAGTAATCAAATCCCCCTCTTCCCGTCTCGATTGATGGATTCGCTGCCAGCCGCGCGCCTCCTGCATTTCTTAACGGCTTGTACTCTGTACTTTTGAACAAATGGTACTGCAGTTATGGGCTTGGGTCGAATTCCTTTCTCTCCTCGCCGCATTCTCATCCTCGAGAATTTTCTAGCCTTAGCATTGAATTCGAAGGAGACTCGAGGAGAAGAGGATGAACTCCCTGGCCTCCATCGTCTCTAACAAGCGCAAAACTGCGAGGTCACTACAGTGATTTCAAAAAGAATTCGTACTACTTTTGATACTGTTTTCCCCAGTATGATCTGGCCAACGAATGCATATCGCCCGCGAAAGATTTTTTTTTTTGTTCACGGGAGATATCCCCCACCTCCCCACACGCCGCTTAGAAACAACACACCCATGCGAAAGGCACACTCAGCAAGCGACAGCATCCACCCGAGAGACATCTACCGCCCGCTGCAAGAATCAGGCCGGGAATGGCCAGTCCCTGCCCTCCCCATCTGAGGTCAATTCCTCCCCGACTTCCTCCCCGCCCGGACGAATTCACCCCGGCGAAACGAAGGGTGCCTTCCGCCGTTTCCTCCTCGTCGCATTCCAGTCTTCTCCGCCATCCACGAGACGTGAATAGAAATCGGCGGCCTTGAGTCACGATCGGCCCTGGGCCGATCCGCCACGTGCCAACTGGGTACGTAACAGATAAGAGTTCTCGTCCTTTCCGGCGTTTGGCTGTCCGGTTTGCAAGGATCCCGCTCGTGTCGATCGTGTCTTCGTGGAGGATGAACCGTCCTCACCCTCACGATAAGATCTTTAATCGTTGTAATTTGTAGAATTGGCTCCCGTCCTTGCACGCGGCCTCTTCCACGCATCACGTGCGTGCAATCAGTCCCGGCCCCCCCCCCCACCCCCCCCCCCCCCCCCCCCCCCCCCAAAAAAAAAAAAAAACAAAAAAAAAAAACAAATTAGTTGCAAAAGACTTCCTCGAGTGGAGGCCCGTATGCTCAAGAGAGAGAAATGCCCAGAGAACCGTATCGATCAGCCCACGGAGAAGCAGTTGTGCCACGTAACCCATTCGGATTTGGAGCAAGATGGAAAAGAGCCTCCTTTCGTCGTCGTTGGGGCTTCGTGCGGGGGGAATCCGGCATTCCGGATTCCTCGAATTCCCTTTTCGGGCTCGCGGGTTCCGCGAGGTGACGAATGCTTGCCGCGGGGCTGCGAATAAAGCGGACACGCTTCGAGCGTGACGCAATCCGACGACCTTCATCCCCGAATATATTAATATGTTAAATAAATGAATATATTAAAAAAACGCCTTCGAAACCCGTCAACCCAATTACGAGTCGAACGCAACGCCCCCGCGTTCATCGCCCGCGACAGCGAAGGCCCGGATTCTTCCCCATCGATTCGGCTCGATTCTGCTCGATTCGACTAAATTCCTCGCTCTGCCGAGCATAACGTCTCCCCAGATCCGGGCTTTCGCGCTTCACCCACGCTTCCGCATATGGCATGAAAAAAAAAACCTTTTCCTTGGAACGAATGCCGTGCTTCCAGTCACTAAATTTTCTCGGAAATGAAATGCACATTCGCAGAAGAATTTTCCTCGAGCCATCGAGCGAGGCTCCTTCAACCGAACACTTGGGACATTTTTCACATTTTTTGCAAATGTGCGAATGTGTTAAACGTTTTCGATGCGGTACGCACGAAGCTAATTATGTTTAACACTGTAAAAACATGAGAAAAATCTGAATACGTTCATTTCAGGCAGGAATTCATTCCAGGATTTGTCGGCGATTGCGAAATTTCATTTTCCAACTCGTTTCAGAAACAGGTCTGAAACGCGGAGCGTTTCAATTGACTCCGTAATCGCTCAGAAGTGCTGAAAGGATTTCATGTGCAAAAAAAAAAATCTGCTTCGTGCCATTTTTTTTATTTCTGCCACACTGGTTGCTCATTACTTCAAAATCTTCACTCGAAAAATTGCAACTGACTTGCGATTTCGAATTATTCCTGCAGGTACGAATGCTGAATTATTCAATTCATACAATTAAATTCAATACTCATGCAAAGAATAATGAGGATTAACGCTTTCGCTTCGGAGGGTCTGCGACAGAGGTTTTTTTTTCGAGGTCTGCAGAAAAATTCGGAACACAAAATGATAGAGACTTGCTCTTTATTGGAAATCGAAGCACGAGTTCTCTATTTCATCCTGTTAAATTATTTCAATATTTAAAAAATCTCGAAGAACCTACATTCACGTCCGTCGGATCGAAAGCACTAACTCGTTGAGCTGCAAAAAAAAAAACAAGGATAGGAGAATGAAGGAGTGGATTCCAGTTCGCCCTATCGCAGAGGAGCAGATATTCGCATCTTCACCCTCGTTAAAGAGCAAATCGAGGCCAACGAGTAGATGATTTTTCTCCATCCTCGCACGAACCTCCCCCCCCCTCCTCCCCTAATGGGATACTCGAGACAGGCGACGGGGGACGAGACAGAGCTTAAGGTGACGAGAGAAAGTCTCCCTGCGCCGAGTCGCTAACGTTCCCGGACGATTTTTTCCATTTCGTCGCGGTCCGGTCATCGCACTCGGCGATGGGAAAGGAGTCCTTTCGCCCTATCTCAGCACATGGGACGTCGCTTTTTTTTTTCTCCTTTTTTTTTTAACAAGCGCTGATAAGTCGGATGCGACCGGCGATCGTCTGGTGGCTGTTCCGTCGGGAATTCGGGTGTTTCTTGGCTCGCTCCGATTCGAAATACGGCAAGCCTGGTCGGTGCAGCGGCGATTCGATCCAGATCGACGAAAGTGGAATGGATTCTCCCTCGACGAAACCAATAAAAATATAAAAAAATCCAGGGAAAGAGAAACAACGGAAACGCATTCTATCGCTCTCTGGTCTCCTGGGATTCAATCCACATTTACGATCGATCCACTCACTTTCTCTTCTCGAAGCTTTTCAGGAAAATTTCGTGCTTCCTTTAGTGAATAAAAGATCAACCCTCATTCAAGTCTCAGTTGATGCAAATGAGAAATAGATTCCCGCCCTTACGAAAAATCCCCCTGTAGTCCACCGGGGGATTACCCAAATCCTCCGGGGGATCCGCATGTGGACTGACAGTTAGCCATATGGAATATTGTGGACTTAATGTGGACTGATGTGGACAAATCCACATGTGGACAAGTCCACAGGGGGACTAATGTGGACCACATGTGGATCACATGTGTATTCATCCAAATCCTCCGGTGGACTTAGGGTAGTCCACATGTGTGGATTTTTTGTAAGGGCGGAAGGCAGCGATGAATGAAGTCACTGCCCTTTGCTGGGCAGTGACGTCATTCTGCTCGTCTGCAACGCTTCTTCGAGTGTCGAGGATGCAGGAAGTACTCCTGCAGTACTGAAAGTACTGGATGCAGCGTTCGAGGGACGAGTGGCAGGTGGGACGGGGAACCGAGAGCCTCCTTTCACCGTCTGCTTTCGTGGCTCCATCCGCGAAAAAGCCATTCGTCTCGTTTTATCCGAGCGAAATTTTCTCAAGTATGGATCTCTTGCTTTTTCTGGGATCGCGATCGCACCGAAAAAAAAAATCTTTAAAGAACATCAAGCGGGTTTTATTTTCTTCGGAAATGATAATGTAGATTTATTGCGAAAGGAATTCGCCGGATGAAATGTGAAGGGGGCAATCGTCTCGCCTCGTCGTTCGCTGTTTG